GGAAAGAGGTAGCAAAAAGCCCTAGAAATTGTGACAGGTTAAGAAAATAGAGAAAATTCTTCTGGTGGTTTCTTTAAGATTAGAAGCCAAAACATTAAGCTGAAGTTAGAGATGCTATTTGCACATTTAAAATGAGTACCCACTTAAAGATATTTCTGAACCAGCCCTGTGTGTAGTGATCATATAATTAAGGAGCTGAGAAACACAGGCAAGGCAAAGTCGGCAGAGGGATTCCTCACTAGCAGGCCTTCAGTCTCCTACATTTTTGCCACATGTTTAAAAAAAAAAGCCCTACTAAAATTATGTTCTCCTTTTCTTTTTGTCCCTGATTTTTTTAAAATCATTGTATGAATGTAATCTGTAAATAGGGTTTTTGAAGGAGACCGAGGACAAATGTTCTCGTAAATCCCTCTCTCTCTTTTGTCATTGATCCATGTGTTTAGCAATTAGAGTGATGGAGCAGCCTTTCTTCTTCGTCACAGTCGTGAAGATCTGGAATAACTTCACATGCAAGTCAATGGGATCATACTATGTACATTAGTATATGGGAAACATGCATTAACCCTTTAATTTTTTTTTTTTTTCTGGAAAAGATCTAGGAAGGTTGGGAGGAGAGGGAGAGAAATACAGGTGCATCACCTTCTGATTGTGTCTCCTCCTTGACCGAATTAGTTTTATTGCTGTAATGAAGGCTGGATTCAACCTTGGATCTCTTGCTAAAACATATAAATGCAGCAATCATAGCTGGTTCTTAAATTATGACTGGCTGTGAGAGCAGAGAATGCAGATGATTTGCTTGATTGTTTTATTGTTGTTTACTGTGAAGAAACCTCTCTCTCACTGACATGCAGACTCATTTTCAGAATTAGAAAACTGCTCTCAAGGAGGCGAAAGACCCTCAGATATATCTTCAGCCTTCAGTATGTTCCATGTGATGAGCTAATGCGTGTCATTTGTAAGAAATACCGGGACCCTCATTGTAAATAAATTTAGATTAAGGACGGATCAATTCCAAGTCAGTGAATATTCATGTGTGAGTGGAAAGCCAAGGTGACCTCCACATAGGATCTATGGAATAGCAGTTTCTTTTTCTCTTCCATTAGCTCAGTTGATAATTCATTTTTATTTAGCCGTATCCTTGATAATTCATTCCTGTTCTTAGCAGTACCCATTCTTTATCTCTGTCCTGTCCTCAGGAACTTGCCAAATCATTCTTCCAGGCTTTTTTCAACTATTCCAAATTTTAAGCACAATATTGCAGCAGCATCCTTCAGCTTCTCATAATATAGCAGAACCTGCTGTTGCTACCGCTCAGAGATCCGATGGGAATACAGCTATTGCCCCCATTCAAAGGAAAACACCCTTCTTGCCATTTTTATTCTGTATTTTGGATCAAGAAGAGTCATAGAGTTGTGATGAGAACACTACAGGATGAGAGCTAGATCCAGCAGAGGACTTCACTGCTTGATTCTTTCCTCTAAAATAACTTCTGAATCATCAGATCCAGCCCCGACTTCACAGATGTCCATGCAATGGCCAGAAGGATGCACAAAACCCCAAAATACTCTGAAGGTAACTGTAGTATAATACAGGAAGAGAGCGGGAGAAATCAAAAGCAGTGCCAGACGCTTAGATCTGTCCAAGATCTGTGCAGATACTCTCTGTAGGCATCGCAAACCCAAGCTGCTAACCTCTGAAAACCCCACTCAGCTGATCTCTGCAGGACATGTCTCCCAGGACACAGGCCATCAGGGCTTGGTTTCTTACCCTGCCTGTAGGGGTTCAATCTCTCATCTTCTACACGTAGGCAGTTACAGAGTAGAAGAGGGATCTCCTGGTGCATCCCCCTAGCCTCTTCCAGTCTGGGGGGAACATGTATTTATTATCTGGGTCAGAGAGTGGAAGACCACGACTCCCAGTTCGTCTTCGGTGGAGGACGCTCAGCTGAGAGAGTGACCTGCTGTCAACTTTGTGCTTCTACAAACGCTTATCCAGTATATATTAAGTGCTTGCAGAAACAGAGGCAGGAACCCGCAGCATTACCCTCCCCTCGTTCTGTGGCCCTGTTCCTGCTCTAATCAGAGCCTGTACCCAAAGGCGCTCCCTCTCGTCCCTCTGGGTCACAGCCGCCTCCTCAGCTCTCCAGCACTGCAAACGAGCAGCAGCAGTGCGGACCCGGGGTGTACA